AACTGAAGAAGTTCCATTCCTTCTATGGCCAGCCAGAAGCCCTGATTTGAACCCTAAGTTCGTAAAAGTCAGTCCAGAATATTGATGAATGGAATGATTCAGCTTCTTGTGCACTCAATGAGGACGAGGGTTCAAAACGTCATCCATGCGGGCTGAGGTTACACAAGACACTGACTTTGTCTTCTGTTTCTGAAACAAGAGGCCTTATTTGTGGATTGGGTGTATGAATATGACCATGTATCGTGTTACCCGTTTTGATAGCCATACTTTAAGTGACACATTATGTTATCTTAATTCCACTTTTATTACACTACCCATGTTTAATCAAATTAAACCATTCAAATTCTTTATTGCTGGCTTTGGTATTAATGAAAAGTCTTTTTAGAACTTTTGCTACAAAATAATTTCCTGTGAGGACGCACATTACATATAAACTCTGGTTAAATACAGGCCTAGTCATACAACTTGCGTAATGCTCCATCTGTATACTTCTTCCATCTGTATATATCATTTCCATGCATTTATTAACGACTATCACATAATTATGAAACTAGGTATTCTCGAACAGTTGAGTGTATCCCGCCCAACCGGGTGAACCCGTCATACATACATGCAAAGGCTAGTCAATTATTCACTTGTGAGAAGAAACCCACTGGACAGAAGGTCCGAACAAACCCAAACATTCACATGAACGCACCACTTGAAAAACGGTGGATAGCCGTGCGTGAACCACGTACAGACTGCACAAAAGCTTGCGAGAGTGTACGTTTTCACTGAACAAGGCAGAATTTCGTTTTGTTTTTCGTTAGAGAAGCCACGCTGTCGGCGACTGTCTCTTATCGAGACAAATCAGGGCATAATTATAAGAAGTCAAATAAGGACTTCAATTGGACCATATGGTGGTTTCGGTGGTCACATAAGGACCGTGTCGTGTTATGTCAAATTAGGACATATAGCTGTATACAGTGCTGTTGAAATATTTTGTTGGTCCATTTTCTGTAAGTAAAAGTATAATGAACTTTGAACATTGTTGAGATATTTTTAAGCCTTCCACTGCTGCGTAACACCCACTGTGTCGCATACTACAAGTCAACATAAGGAATTACATCTGACATCAAAAGTCATAAATCTTCATCATGTACATTAATATTAATCTATTGATAGTAAAACGTAGATGTGAGCATTACTGTCAAATAAACAAAATATAATTGTGTATGTATTAATCTAAAGTGTAGATAATGTAATTGTGTGTAGTAATCAGATGTGTACATGATCTAATTCTTTGCATTTATCTTATGTGTGCTCAATGTAATTGTGTGTATTCTATCTGGTGTATACACAATGTAATTGTGTGTATTTTATTTATGCGCGCTTGATGTAATTGTGTACGTTTATTTTAATGTGTGCATGATATAATTGCTTGTATTCTATCTGATGAGTGTATGATGTAACTGTGTGTATTTTATCTGATGAGTGTATGATATAATTGTGTGTATTTTATCTGATGAGTGTATGATGTAATTGCTTGTATTTTATCTGATGAGTGTATGATGTAATTGTGAGTATTTTATCTGATGAGTGTATGATGTAACTATGAGTATTTTATCTGATGGGTGTATGATATAACTGTGTGTATTTTATCTGATGAGTGTATGATGTAATTGTGAGTATTTTATCTGATGAGAGTATGATGTAATTGTGTGTATTTTATCTGATGAGTGTATGATATAATTATGTGTATTTTACCTGATGACTGTATGATATAACTGTGTGTATTTTATCTGATGTTTGTATGATGTAATTGTGTGTATTTTATCTGATGAGATTATGATGTAATTGTGTGTATTTTATCTGATGAGTGTATGATGTAATTGTGAGTATTTTATCTGATGACTATAAGATGTAATTGTGTGTATTTTATCTGATGACTGTATGATTTAATTGTGTGTATTTTATCTGATGGGTGTATGATGTAATTGTGTGTATTTTATCTGATGAGTGTATGATGTAATTGTGTGTATTTTATCTGATGAGTGTATGATGTCATTGTGAGTATTTTATCTGATGAGTGTATGATGTAATTGTGTGTATTTTATCTGACGAGTGCATGACGTAACTATGAGTATTTTATCTGATGAGTGTATGATATAACTGTGTATATTTTATCTGATGTTTGTATGATGTCATTGTGTGTATTTTATCTGATGACTGTATGATGTAATTGTGTGTATTTTATCTGATGAGTGTATGATTTAATTGTGAGTATTTTATCTGATGAGTGCATGATGTAATTGTGTGTATTTTATCTGATGACTGTATAATGTAATTGTGTATATTTTATCTGATGACTGTATGATGTAATTGTGTGTATTTTATCTGATGAGTGTATGATTTAATTGTGAGTATTTTATCTGATGAGTGTATGATGTAATTGTGTGTATTTTATCTGATGAGTGTATGGTGTAATTGTGTGTATTTTATCTGATGACTGTATAATGTAATTGTGTATATTTTATCTGATGAGTGTATGATATAATTGTGTGTATTTTATCTGATGAGTGTATGATGTAATTGTGTGTATTTTATCTGATGAGTGTATGATATAATTGTGTGTATTTTATCTGATGAGTGTATGGTGTAATTGTGTGTATTTTATCTGATGACTGTATAATGTAATTGTGTATATTTTATCTGATGACTGTATGATGTAATTGTGTGTATTTTATCTGATAACTGTATGATTTAATTGTGTGTATTTTATCTGATGACTGTATGATGTAATTGTGTGTATTTTATCTGATAACTGTATGATTTAATTGTGTGTATTTTATCTGATGACTGTATGATGTAATTGTGTGTATTGTATCTGATGAGTGCATTATGTAATTGTGTGTATTTTATCTGATGAGTGCATGATGTAATTGTGTGTATTTTACCTGATGAGTGTATGATATAACTGTGTGTTTCTGATGTGTGCAGAATGTAATTTTGTATATTTAATCTGATGTGTGCATAATATAATTGCTCGTATTTTATCTGATGTGTGCAGAATGTAATTTTGTATATTTAATCTAATGTGTGCATAATATAATTGTGTGTATTTTATCTGATGAGTGCATAATGTACTTGTGTGTATTTTATCTGATATGTGCACAATGTAATTGTGTGTATTTTATTTGATGTATGATGTAATTGTGTGTATTTTATCTGATGAGTGTATGATGTAATTGTGAGTATTTTATCTGATGACTGTAAGATGTAATTGTGTGTATTTTATCTGATGACTGTATGATTTAATTGTGCATATTTTATCTGATGGGTGTATGATGTAATTGTGTGTATTTTATCTGATGAGTGTATGATGTAATTGTGTGTATTTTATCTGATGAGTGTATGATGTCATTGTGTGTATTTTATCTGATGAGTGTATGATGTAATTGTGTGTATTTTATCTGACGAGTGCATGACGTAACTATGAGTATTTTATCTGATGAGTGTATGATATAACTGTGTATATTTTATCTGATGTTTGTATGATTTCATTGTGTGTATTTTATCTGATGACTGTATGATGTAATTGTGTGTATTTTATCTGATGACTGTATGATTTAATTGTGAGTATTTTGTCTGATGAGTGCATGATGTAATTGTGTGTATTTTATCTGATGAGTGTATGGTGTAATTGTGTGTATTTTATCTGATGAGTGTATGATGTAATTGTGTGTATTTTATCTGATGAGTGTATGATATAATTGTGTGTATTTTATCTGATGAGTGTATGGTGTAATTGTGTGTATTTTATCTGATGACTGTATAATGTAATTGTGTATATTTTATCTGATGACTGTATGATGTAATTGTGTGTATTTTATCTGATAACTGTATGATTTAATTGTGTGTATTTTATCTGATGACTGTATGATGTAATTGTGTGTATTTTATCTGATAACTGTATGATTTAATTGTGTGTATTTTATCTGATGACTGTATGATGTAATTGTGTGTATTGTATCTGATGAGTGCATGATGTAATTGTGTGTATTTTATCTGATGAGTGCATGATGTAATTGTGTGTATTTTATCTGATGAGTGTATGATATAACTGTGTGTTTCTGATGTGTGCAGAATGTAATTTTGTATATTTAATCTGATGTGTGCATAATATAATTGCTCGTATTTTATCTGATGTGTGCAGAATGTAATTTTGTATATTTAATCTAATGTGTGCATAATATAATTGTGTGTATTTTATCTGATGAGTGCATAATGTACTTGTGTGTATTTTATCTGATATGTGCACAATGTAATTGTGTGTATTTTATTTGATGTATGATGTAATTGTGTTTATTTAATCTAATGTGTGCATGCTGTAGTTTTGTGTATTAAGCCTGATTCGTGCATTATGTAATTCGTATGTATGTTATGTGATGTATGCATGATGTATGCATGATGTATGTGCGTATATTTATCCAGTGGTGTTTTGCTAGTTTGCTAAAACCTAAAGCGTCGTACTCATATTGAATGACGTTTGCGTTCACGTGCAGAAGTTCTGCTGCTGTTTATTGAAGAAAGTATTTAGCAATTGAGTTGGGGAGTTTAAAAATCTTGGCCTAGATATTTCTTTCCAACTCAGCACATTTCATGAATGTGAACGAGCTTATAATGAAACTGTGGATCTTTCACTTCTAATAAAAAACACTGACTTACTGAAATGACCCCAGTCCCTAGCAAATGCCCTGGTAGTTTCCGACATGGCCTGGCAGTGTTTCCTTCAGTAAGTAGCATACTCATATGTCCCCATCGTCACGGACAGCACTGGGGAGTGTTCCTCCCACTCACCGCCCAGCTATAAACACGTCCACCACGTCCCTTCGTCCATTTGTCCAGCACCGGGTGTCAAGCTGAGAACAGCGGACTGGAGGCTCATCGTCAGAACCAAGGAAACGAGTCAGTATACCACGCTCATCTTCATCGGTTCTCCCTCCACTGCGCCGTTCATCAGTGATCTCGTCCGCCAACTGGTCGGGTTTAGCGAAAACTGTTTCCAACTAAAATGGGATTGGCGTAGTTTAAGTGACCTCCAAGATAAAACCATTTTTGTGAAGAGGACGGCACCCAGTGAGAGACAGGAAGACGGCGATGTGCAAGGTTTGGGTGTTCTCTATTTGTATTTAGTTCAGTGTCATTAAGTTTCTAGGGCGAGGAGTTCATGGATTCTCAAACCCAGACTGACATCATTCATGATCTCTTCTTTGACAGGCATTTTAGAAGTTGTAATAGATGAAGGAAAACCAAGTTCTGTGGATAGTCAACTTCTTTATTGAAATTAGTGCTACGTTTCAGTGCAAGTACTAACACTCTTATCAAGCAAGTGATTTATAACTTGCTGGATAACGGTGTTAGTACCTACACCGAAACGTCGCACTTTGAAATAAAGAAGTTGACTATCCATAGAACTTGGTATTCCTTCATCATTCATGATCATCAAAACAATGCACATTTGCAGGACATTTGGGGAAAACCTACTTATTTCGAATTAAGCAAGAACATCGCTTAGCTTTTAATGTCTTATGCATCTTAAAATCATGTCAATGTTCACATGTACATGACCACGGGTACCGAAATGATCTGGAATATTTTGAGATTTCCCCTCCCATATCTGAGCATGGATTAAAAGCAGATGTGGTGCGGCTACTGTAACACTGAGTATATCTGTAGTGGTGCGCCAGGACTTCAAGTGTCCGTTGTCTGTCCGTTGTCTGTAGTATTACCCATTCATCGCACCAGTATACGACTTAGATGGGATTGATTACTTTTAAATCATAAACAATCGGCAGAAACTGTATATTTATAATCTTTCTGATTTCCTAGCTTTCCTTCACCCGAAGAAGTAAGAATATACTCTGAAACGCAGTGTTCCTCAAAATATAGACGTTTATATCTTTAAATACCACCCCTTCATTGTGTTTGTCACTTCAAAGCCATTTAATGATTTTACATGAAGTTCAACTTACAATATAATCTTTCCAAACTATTTAAATCAAACCGTTTAATTCTATTCATATGTCAGATATTGTTTCAAAAAGTATTTTCCTGATATTGCTATGTCTAAACAGTTCATAATGATCCCTGAGCTAAGGCTAGGGGAAGTTAGCTTCACGTGACACAAACACGTGGGAGTGGGAGTTCTCCTACAAACATGCATGTATACAATCCATGCTGTGAGTTGTATGTTTGTAGTAATGACTACTGCAAGAGTAGAATACTGCAAACACCAGAGCGGCGCTGACCATGGGGTACGGCAACAGCAACCACAGCACCCCGTGGAGACCCAGTTTAGCGAAATATGCTCCTATTTAGAGAGCTAATCATCAACCTGAGCGCTTGTCACGTTCTCCACCCGGCTGATAGAAATCGGGAAAGACTTCCCGGGGTGATGACATCAAAATCGTCTCTGTCTTTGTCTCCCGCGCGTAGAGCTGATGTAGCTGTTATTAAATCTTCAAGGCTGCAAGGATAGAGAACTATTGTAATCGTTGTAATTATTATTTTATCATCTATTTTTCTTATTCCGCCGTATTTGGTACCAGAGATGACAATCAGCGGTCATAGTATCTCCCAGATATACCAGCTGCGTCCGAGCCAGTGTGAGACAGATACCGAGGCCAAGGCAGATCATACACAATAAATACAAACTTCCAATCACAGATATCTCTGATAATACTCGTCAACTGACTTCCATGTGCAATATGCGCCAGTGAAATCAGATGCCCATCAAATTTGTCCCTAAAATGCGCCAGCCTTATCAGAAGGTTTTGGGCGTGCATTTAACACTTCTCCCACTAGTTATGTGCCCGTAGTTTGAACTCGTCAGGGCGTGAAACAAAACGTCTTCGGCCTGGGCGATCTCAGAACGCTAACTCTGTCTACGATGGACCAACTATGTGTTAGAGAAGGGACTTCCTCTTCTGGGGCCGCTAGGGGTGCTCTCTACAGTGATGAACGTGCTCGTGAATGTGATGTTCGGTCATATCAAGAGAATGTGTTTTGTCTGATAATGGAGAGATTTGGCGTTGACATTGTATACCGTATTGGATGTCGGCTTCTCTTGTTGATAGGAACGGTCGTAATGGCGGGACATGTGTCTGCCTGTCGTGGGCACATCAAGAGTTGGTTATATCCCTGAAATTCAGCACAAAGCGACATTTTACCCACACACAAACTATTGCCATTTGCATACATTGCATTTTGTTTTTGCTGATTAACAGCAGGACTTCAGTCCTGTCCCACAACGAAGCACATGTGGTCTCACTATAGACAAGTGAGTTTGTTCCAAATTGCCTCTGTTCACCCAGCAGAAAATGGGTACCCGGTTGGATAAAGTCATGTGACTATAACCTTCTAGCGCCTAACAGGCAGCTTGGGTTATCCGTGGTAATAAGAATCAGATTCTGATTAAGCGCCCCGAGCAATCACTTGGTGTTTAGAGACTGTGCGCTATAGAAGATGACGTATTATATTGATTATTATTAACATAACATGATGAATGAGCATTAAATTTTAAGCGTAGAACTGACAGTTGTTGATATGAAAGATGTACTCCATATTTCTCTTGGAAGTACATAAAATGATAGTTTGCTTACCTTATATAGCTATACTGACACGCATAAGAAATACAAGAAATTCTTGCCTAGTACACCATCTTGCAATCTTCTCCACCAGGTGGCGCAGTTGTCCCCGCTGCTGTTCCTCCTCGGAGTCCACCTGGTACCCAGCTCCGGCGACAGACACGACAGCTGCCGCCACACCCCTCAAGCCCTTGACATCATCGAGCGACTACAGAGCACCATCCACCCACAGATGCCCTTCCCTCAGGGTTCCCGCTACCCCAACCACCTGTACTCCCCGGTGCCCGCCATGTGCCCCCAGCTGGCTCCGCTCAGTGATGAGATCAACCTCCAGTCTCTGTGTCCCTGGGAATACTATGAAAACCACGACGAAAACAGGTATAACGGGACACATTTACTGTATGGGTGATCTCACTCGACCTATCGGTCGTTTCCCTCCAACACTAGACATCAGTTATCAAAACGTCACGTGCACGTCTCTCTCCGAAACTAGATATCACTTATATAGATGCCACTTGCACGTCTCTCTCCGAAACTACATATCATACGTGTCCGTCTCTTTTCCGAAACTATACTATCCCAAAAAAGAAACGCATATGTATTTTGTATTTAAAATCTATTAATTACCTATTGTGTTCAAACAATCGTCAAACTATGCAACAAAAGTGTTGATAACATGATTTACTGATTTACACAATTGCACACTTAAAAAATCGACTTTACCTGAAAATGTTGATTTTGATGAGATTTCTTACAATGATTAAAAACGCATCGCCACAACGCAGCAAAAATCGCCTTACAGTTAAAAAATTGAGCAGCAAAGAGCATGCACTGTCTGGCTATAAACATCCTGATTACTACTGGTATACTATCGGGTATAGTACTGAGTTTAGTACCGTTTTTAGCCCCGGGTTTAGTACTGGGAATAGTACCGGGTTTAGTACTGGGTATAGTACTGGGTAGAGTACTGGGTTTAGTACCGGGTTTAGAACTCGGTTTAGTACTGGGTATAGTACTGGGTATAGTACTGGTATAGTGCTGGGTATAGTACTGATATAGGGTTTAGTACTGGGTATAGTACTGGGTATAGTACTGGGTATAGTACTGGTATAGGGTTTAGGTATAGTACTGGGTATAGTACTGGTATAGGGTTTAGTACTGGGTATAGTACTGGTATAGTACTGAGTAGGGTACTGGTATAGGGTTTAGTACTGGATGTAGTACTGGGTATAGTACTGGTATAGTACCGGGTATAGTATTTGGTTTAGTACCGAGTTTAGTACTGGGTATAGTACTGGGTATAGTACTGGTATAGGGTTTAGTACTGGGTATAGTACTGGCATAGTACTGGGTATAGCACTGGGTATAGTACCGGGTTTAGTACTGGTTTAGTACGGGTTTAGTACCGGGTTTAGTACTCGGTATAGTACTGGGTATAGTACTGGTATAGGGTTTAGTACAGGGTAAAGTACTGGGTATAGTACTGGGTATAGTACTTGTATAGTACTGGGTATAGTACTTGTATAGTACTGGGTATAGTACTGGTATAGTACTGGGTATTGTATTTGGTTTAGTACCGGGTTTAGTACTGGGTATAGTACTGGGTATAGTACTGGTATAGGGTTTAGTACTGGGTATAGTACTGGCATAGTACTGGGTATAGTACTGGGTATAGGGTTTAGTACTGGGTGTAGTACTGGGTATAGTACTGTGTATATTACTGGTATAGTACTGGGTATAGCACCGGGTTTAGTACTTGGTATAGTACTGGTATAGTACTGGTTATAGTATTTGGTTTAGTACCGGGTTTAGTACCGGGTTTAGTACTGGGTATAGTACTGGGTATAGTACTGGTATAGTACTGGGTATAGTACTGGGTATAGTAAGGGGTTTAGTACTGGGTATAGTACCGGGTATAGTACTGGTATAGTACTGGGTATAGTACTGGTATAGTACTGGGTACAATACTGGGTATAGTACTGGGTATAGTACTCCGTACAACGTTGGACTAAGGTTGTCTTAGCAACTTACGATCACCTTAGTGCTTTGTGAAAGGAGGCCTGGGTATGTACACCTTTTGGTGCGTCATTTAATTCGTTTTGTGTTTTCATCGTAACCATTGGAAGCACATGCTAAAGTTTCATGTTTCATGTTTCATGTTTCATGTTTCATGTTTCATGTTTCATGTTTTCATGTTTCTGTATGTTCCAGGTACCCTCACAATATCATCTACGCCAACTGCACATGCGCGTACTGTATCGGAAACAACTACCTGTGTCGCCCGGTTTACCACAGCATCCCCGTTATAAAGCAGGTATGTCGGAACGGCGTGTATGACTTTCACTGGGACAATGAACACATCCCAGTCGGCTGCACGTGCTCGCACCCAGGTCCAAGAAGAAAGAAGTGGTATTTTCTTTGAAGTGAATAAATAGTTTTTCATCCCTCTTCTTGTTATCAATGCTAGGGAAAGTGCAATAAGATGTATACGTTACGCTCTCGTGACAGGTGGCTGGTGACACGATTTTCTGTCTCCATCAAAGCTGCAAAGCGTCTTGTCTGTTGAAGTGTGAGCCTCACATATAACTTTGCCTTGACGAAGGATTGCAATCTTTTCTTTGACAGGCTAGTTTCAGTAAAAACCAAAAACATTTGTAGCCATTTCCCGCATGGCCGGCAGTTGGTATCAGTGTGGCTTATTAATCTGAAACTTCACCCACAGCAGGACATGTCCTGCACATTGTGGAGGATAAAGAGGTTTTTCATTCAATGCTCATCAGTTTAATATACTCGTCACAAAATGTAGGGGAACTTCATTTTTAATTTACGATTGGAAACATTGGGAGACAGGTCGGAGGCAATCAACGTTGATATGATAATAATGAATGTTGATATGATAATAATGAATGTTTTGAGAGTGCATCACCACTTGCACTTCCTTATGACCATGGGTGTTTGTACAGTAAATGCTGTTGAAAGATGATTGGTGTATGATGTGAAATTTGCATGTGTACGATTTTCATTATCAAACGAAAAAAACAAACGGCTAGAAACAAACACTAGCAACTGTGTGATGCAAGGTGGTTGTCAAAATTAATGGTCTACAGTGATTTATCGACCTTCTTGAAAAAGTCAAAATCAAGAATGACACCACATGCACGCGTGTGGGGCTACTGCGTTGTGCACGTGCATCCCATACATTGTGTTTACGGGTGGTGATAAAGATAAATGGTGGTGCGTTCATAAGATGTCTGCCTTTGAAAGGTATCATACTGATACAGACGAAAGAAGTCAGCATCTATATCATAGGATACCATTCTGAAAACACTAAATGTTTAAAACCTATTTTCACTGAAAGATTTAAGCCACGGCGTGTAGATATAGGTGTTCGAGTGAACCGGTAGTTTATGATAGGGATTAGGGAACCTAATTATGTGTTACCAAGTTGTTCAACAAAAACTCCAAAACATCGGACATCCAGACCGGAGTTTGCAGGGAAAGTCATATCGAAGTATTGGGTTAACATTATATAGTTCCTGTTCCGTGACTTCATTTGCCGATCTATCAGCTCCTGATACCAAATGTATCAGAACTGTTTCTCGCAATGATACCGCCATCCATTCCACGATAAAGCAATTCGCCCAATCTGTCGGTCAGTCAATGGGAATGTTACTGAAGAAAAAGGGGATAGTTGTCCCAGTGAGGACATATTTTGGAAATGGAATCACAATGTCATTACATTGTGTTACTCGTCATCATGTAGCTAACTAGTCATATTCTTAACACGTGCATGTCCTATGTAGCTAGCTAGTCATCTTCGTAACACGTGCATGTGCTTATAGCTAGCTAGTCAACAAGGAAACCCAAACTCTTTGGATAGTCAGCTTATTTATTCCAGTCTAGTCTCATGTAGCTAACTAGTCATCATCTTAACACGTGCATGTCCTATGTAGTTATCCAGTCATCATCTTAACACATGCATGTCTTATGTAGCTATCCAGTCATCATCTTAACACATGCATGTCTTATGTAGCTAGCTAGTCATCAAGGAAACCCAAGTTCTATGGATAGTCAGCATATATATTCCAGTGTATGTCTCATGTAGTTAACTAGTCATCGTCTTAACGTATGTCCCATGTCCCAATTAGTGCAACACAATATAGGAGGACCGTTGGTAGTAGCCCTCACACACACACACACACACACACACACACACACACACACACACACACACACACACACACACACACACACACACACACACACACACACACACACACACACACACACACACACACACACACACACACACACACACACACACACACACCGCTGTGTTTTAGAACAGTGACACATAGAGCTATGCACTGCAGGGTAAACATACGAAAGGATGTACAGATGGATGGAATGGAAGGACAGCGAGCACATATGACACGGCATATGGCGCGTACAGGCGCGGGGAATGGTCTACTTATACTGTCAGTAATTTCACAATCATGGAGTGGATTCCAAGTCAGAGAGGGAAGGATAAGTTAGCTTTAGAGGGATTCTTGTATGTTTCACCAGAAAGAGTTACAAGGTGGAGTTAACTCTTATGAATGTGTGAAGAGAAGACGCAGTCAGTGTAAGGCTAAGGTTATAGACGGGGAAGTAGTTGGTCGCCTGTATGATCACACACATGCACTTTTACTTTGTGTGTTTTGTTATGATGGGGGGCAGTTGTCCGGGGGTCAATTAACCCAAGGGGCAGTTGTCCTGGGGGCACAATGGACGGGGGGCAGATAGCCAGGGGGCAGTTGTCGGGGGGCAGTTGTCCGGGGGGCAGTTAGCCTAGACCCTGTAGATGTTGGACATACAGCCGTTTTGCTGCTGGAGTGATTGCACAATCATGTCCCCATGTTTCTCTGATTGATACCGCGAGATATCACGTGGCGAACTGACGTCTGGTGATAGATCGGGAAGATACAGCGTTTTGGAGATATATCACCCAGACCGGAGGATGACTGTAACGACGTATCTGATTGGTTTGCCCCAGTGATTCGCTGACGTCACAGGGAGCAATGTGTTTCAGTCAAGACTTGTCAGGTGATGACAGTTACAGTTATTGATAAACGACAAAACAAAGAATAACAACTTCCGATTGTAATCGTCACGATCGGGGGAATAATTCCTCGTTTCCCTGGGGCAGAGCGATTGAGTGAGTGTGGTGATCTCATGTAGGCCAGTTTCAGGCAGACAAGGAACAGATGTCGGAAGTCACCTATGTTATAAGCTGCTCATCTTGTAGAACAGAACCCCAAAACACACGGTGTGTGGGTTAGTGAAACATACTGGCCAAAAGTTTATTTCAGAGAGTTCTATTTGAGATTCAGACAACATGAGAATGTTTCTCCTGTGTATATATTGCACCGTTGTCGTCAGCATCACTGCGACCCTGGCACCAGTTGCTGACGGCAGCAACGTACCCACCTCCACCACCAGCGTCTGGGGAGACGTGGTCACGCTGTGGCGAGACTGGTCAGTGATGCTCATCAGCCAATCACCATCAGGGCGGCTACCGGCTGCGTCAGGTAATTTCGACCTGGACCTTGAATCAACGTCAACGTCAGCCAGGTCCCTGTGTTCATGGGACTACTACGATGATGTCAATCTGCATCGATTCCCATCAGTGTTGAGACAGGCTCGCTGCAAGTGCAGAAGATGCTTTGACATCGCGTCACGAACACTGGTATGTAAACCTCAGTACATCACCACTCCCGTTGTCACGTGCAACAGGGGAAACAACTCTGACTGCCAACTGACCACTGAAAGAATTGCTGTGAACTGTGCGTGTGTACACAACGAGAGGCGGTTGACACAGTACTCACGTGACTAGCTGGTGAGGTATTGTTCCATGTATACCTGGTACAGTACATATCTTATGTGTGTTCGAGACAATGGGACTGACACTTGTAATAGTATGCAATCCGTCATGAGCAAGCGTGGAACCACACATTGATCGGTGGATGTTTGGTGGAAGCTTTCAGTTACCGGTTTGCAGCTGCTCTGCTCCACCAGCTTCCAGTAATTCTTCCTGAAAGACAGGTTTACTTCTTAATACTCAGGTGTTGGAATAAAAGGTCACTAGATTTGCTTTGCTGTTTGTATCTTGTTTCCTGGGCTGTGAAGATAGAGCGTGTGAGTAGGTGAATGTGTATGTAGGTGAATGTGTGAGTAGGTGAATGTGTGAGTAGGTGAATGTGTGAGCAGGTGAATGTGTGAGTAGGTGAATGTGTGAGTAGGTGAATGTGCGAGTAGGTGAATGTGTGAGTAGGTGAATGTGTGAGTAGGTGAATGTGTGAGTAGGTGAATGTGCGAGTAGGTGAATGTGCGATTAGGTGAATGTACATCAACTCCAGCTGCGTTATATTCCAGCCCCACAGTGAGCTCCATCCACTCCACATGCAAGTCCAGTCGACCATCTCATCGTTACATCGCTTACATAGATATTACACTGTATATGACATAACGACACAGCGTGTATAGAACACTCAAATTGAAGGGTTTCTGTCCACGAAGTCTGAAGTCTGGAAACAATCTCACATTACGACAGCCAAGTCTAGAAACAGTCTCGAATTACGACATACAAGGCTAGCAATAGTCTCACATTACGACATACAAGAATAGGAACAATCTCACATTACGACAGCAAATGCTAGGAACAATCTCACATTACGACATACAATATTAGGAACAATCTCACATTTCGACATGTACAAGGAATAATCTCACATTACGACATACAAGATTAGGAACAATCTCACATTTCGACATGTACAAGGAACAATCTCACATTACGACATGTACAAGGAACAATCTCACATTACGACATACACTATTAGGAACAATCTCACATTACGACATCCAAAACTAGGAACAATCTCACATTTCGCCATGTACAAGGAACAATCTCACATTACGACAGCCAAGATTAGGAACAATCTCACATTACGACATCCTAGAATAGGAACAATCTCACATTACGACATACAAGACTAGGAACAATCTCACATTACGACACACAAGACTAGCAACAATCTCACATTACGACATACATGACTAGCAACAATCTCACATTACGACATATATGACTAGCAACAATCTCACATTACGACATACAAGACTAGAAATAATCTCACATTACGACATACATGACTAGCAACAATCTCACATTACGACATACAAGACTAGCAACAATCTCGAGTCACGATACACAAGTCAATTTAAGTCCCATATGGGTTTCGAGCCTACACTCTCAGAGTCAGGAACCTTTAGAATCGACATCACATGAAGTCAGCCATCTAGTCCGCTTAGCCACCGCGGCTCCCACGAAAATGGAAGTCGGACAAGTGGTAGTATAGATCAGGGACTTTGTGTACCCCAGTAACGGGATCCCAAATCCCCTGA